GGGTCTTGCTATGTAGCTTAGGCTAGCCTGGAACTCATTATCCTTCTGGTTTAACTTCTTGAGTGCTGGGATTACAAGTGCCATCACACCTGGCAAGGTACCTATTTTTGCCTGCAAAATTCATAAAAAGGCAGGACCATACTGAGAATAACCTTTTCATAAGACAAGGTCTCCGTAGCCACAGGAGTAAAATGGTTATGCCCTTGAATGAAATTTCACTTTTAACAAATCTTTCCTGCAGGTATACTGACAAAGGTGTGTCAACACACAAGTACTCATGGTCACACATACTCACATAAGGATTTTTGGTCATAATTTAAAAAACAAATACAAAAAGAGCAAACTACCTGAGCAGCCACCAGGTAGAGAATGTGTATTTCAATAGATAGCGGCCATCAAGAACAAGAGTGGCCTCTGTGTGTTCTTGTTAAAAGTGCCCATGATGTCGTAAGTGAAGAGAGGAGAGCAGCATATTTGTACAGAGATTCCACTAATGAAGAAGAGGCCAGGTTGAGGAGTAGCTCAGAGATAGAGGCCTGTCCAGCACACAGGAGGCTTGGGGTGGGAGGGTACTGTATGCTGTACTGTTTTCTCTGTGTTGTTTAAATTTTCAAGAAGTTTTCATTATTTTATATTAAAAATCCTTTTCAGATGAAATTCAATTATATAAAATGACCATAGAGTTATGCAAATACAACTTGATTTGTTTTGCTACAAATGATTATCTGCATAGCCTTGAATATTCAGGAAAAGGTGATCTAGAAGAACATCTTCCACGCAAAGCGTTGACCTACAAGGACTTTGGGCAGGACCCTCCCGTTATTATGTTTCTCTCTCCATATCCATAAAGCAGTGAAACGCTCTTGAGGAAAGACAACACTGGGAAATCCTGGGGCAGGCTTTAACCTAAACAGCAATTGGTGAATACTATGCTGTTTCTCTTTAAATAACAAGAATTCATAATTCATAATAATAGTGGTTGGTAAAACCGGGCATTATTTAGAGCTCAGTCTACATTGCTATGACGGCTGCTTTTGGCCTGAGCACAGTTAGCTCCCTGACTCCTTTATGCTCTTCACAGAGGTGCTTGCCCTGGCCTAGATCCTCAGGGCTCTTCAGAGGTGGCCTCGTTGTCCTTGGCTGCCAGCATAGGCCTCTGTCTTGTCAACAGTGGCTGTCCTGACAGACACCCCTCCTGGGGTCACAGGTAAGAGCACGTTCTCTGGGCCCAGACGTGCTCCCAAGTCATTCTTTGATTCACCTCTTATTGCCAAAGCCACTTAACTGCCCACCAGTGATTACCCAGTGCTCAACACCAAGAATCTGAAATGAGCAGGCACACGTCATTGCTCACAAAAAACAGACTGGAAAGTCACGCAGTCCTGTCTGGTATCAGAAGTGATGAAGCAGGGTCTCCAGACGGGCCAGCGGAGCATGCAATGGCATATGGGAGCAGGGTCCTAAGAGGGCCTTCTGTCTTTCCAGATGGAAGAGGAAAGAAGGTGAGAGGAAAGAAGGTGAGAGGAAAGGAGCCACAAAGATGGTGTTTCTTGGTTAACAAGCAGTTACGCTTCCCATAACCCTTGAGCATAAATAAGGTCGCCTTTCTCTCTGTGCCCCAATTGCAAAGGTCCCACGAACCTACTCTATGACTGCCAGCAATTTTAGTCTTTTCCAAAAGGCCCCCACAGTGAAATTTTCTGATAAGCCTTAGGAGTACATAAATTCGGGGACTATCTTTGCCATTTCTTTCTCACAGGAAGTAAGCACTCAGATAAACTCCTGGGTCTGAATTGGGGTCTAGGCCTCCTAAAAATCTCACCAGTCAGTCATTAGGCCACAGTGGGCATCCAGAGCAATGGCAGCTACTTGGGGTGGAGTGGGGAGCCCAGCACCAGGCCTTGCTGACTGTCAGCTCCAGAGCTGCTCACAGCATTGCCTCCTGGGCCTCCTCAAGTCTTCCATGTCCACTGAGAAGGGCACTATGACCTATGGCCTTTTTCTGCCAGCTAGGGTGCACCTGACAAGTCTCCTTGGGCCCAGCTGCTCCCACATGGTGGCTCAGCCCCTAGTTTCCTCACATTCACTCCCCATTCCCCCACCCAGATAGCGCCTCTCTTAGAGGACCTAGCTGAACAGGCATGTTGGGATATCTTTTTCCTTAGGGTATGGGGTCTGAGGGTGGGAGTGGAGGCTATTGCCAAAGGGTAGGGCATGGTGGGATCCAGGAACATTCTCCATCCAGCATCATCCTAGCCCTACCTCATTCCCAGGGTGTTCAGAGCAGGTGCAGAGAGCTGTAGCTATGGAGGGCTGTGTGCTCAAGGCAGAACAGTCATCCTCCATAACGCCTAGTCGGCATCCGTGGATGTGACTGACCACAGATAGAAAATCAGTAAAAAAGTGTCTGCAGTGAGCATGGGATTTTTTTGTCTTGTCATATCTCCTAAAGGTTACAGTATAACAAGTATTTCACAGCACTTTCTTTGTATTGTTATCATGACTAATCTAGATACGACTGAGTGTGCTGAGGACATGCATAGGAATACCACATTTTATATAATGGATTTGAGCTCGGAGGAGTAGGGTGTCCCTGCAGGCGTCCTAGCCCCATGGACACCGACTGATGACTGTCTTACAGTGACAGCACTGCCCCACCTCTCCCAGACTGACCTGTCTTCTCTCCGTCACCCCTCTTTACTTTTACGCTTCCTTTTAGAGGGTGGGGAGATTACTGCTATAACAGTGGGCAACCTTCAGCAGAGCCAAGAGCTGGGGGTCAGAGGGCAGGAACCCTGAACCCTAAACCTGCCGCCTCCCTGCAAGACGGGGCTTTCTCTTGCTCTCTTTTTTATTGGCATATACTAGTTGTACAAAGGGATTTCTTTGTGATATTTCCGTATATGCATATGATATACTTTGATCAAATTCACCCCCTCTGTTACTCTTACTTATCCCTCCTGCCCCCTTTGTAAACAATCTCAGTGGGCTTCATTATTCTATTTTCATACATGCATATACAGTTCTTTAATCATATTCCACCCCCACCTCCTTTCATTCTCCCCCTTCCTGGTATTTCTCATTCCCAAATGATTCCTCCATTCTACACTCATTCTTTTTGTTAAAGCTATGTGAGAAGAATATGTCCTATTTATCTTTCTCAGTCTGGTTTATTTCATTTAGTGGATGGAATTCCAATTCCATTCATTTTCCTGCAAACAACCTAATTTTCTTTCTATTTTTTTTTGGTTGGGACTGAGGTTTGAACTTAGGGCTTCACTTGCAAAGCAGGCACTCTACCACTCGAGCCACACCTCTGGTCCAAACAACATAATTTCATTCTTCTTTATGGCTGAATAATACTCCACCATGTATTTTCTCTGTCTGTTCATCAGTTAATAGACACATAAGCTGATTCCATAGCCTGGCTATTGTGAATAGTGCTGCTGCAAACATGATGTACAGTATTGCTATTGTGTGCTGACATGCATTTTACATATTACATATGCATAATGACTTACGTATATTAGGATGTATGCCGAGGAGTGGCATAGCAGGATGATATGGTAGTTCTATTTTTCACTTTTAAGAAACCGTCACAGTGATTTCCACGGTGGCTGCACTGATCTCCAGTCCCAGCAGGAGTGTATAATAAAGCCTCTTTTCCCACATCCCCGCCAGCCTTTATTGTAAACGAGGGCTTTGGAGCACCTGCTTCTGCCTGCCAGCTCACCGTCTCTCATTCTGGATACCACTCCGAGGGACTGGACTTGTGTGTGCAGCAGGTGGTAATGGCCAGTGGAGAATCTTTGTAACGGTGGTGGTAGCAACGCAGCAGTGACCAGCACACTCAAACATTGTGCTCACAGGACTGGAAGCAATAGAGGTGTGTTTTCTAAGTCACTTTGAGGAGAGGAAGCTGGAGATGTCCTCCTCACTGCTTATTTTCCCTTCAGTACCCAGCTCCAGTGCCACCTCTGGCTCTCTACTTCACTCTAAGATGGGTTCAAGTTTTCTAGAGAGGTTACACTGGTAGACATAGCTTCTGTTTTGAGAGACTTTCTCAGCTCTGCTGGGCTCAAGATGGAGGGATCATCTGACAGGAAGGGAGTTTAAGTGATGGGAGCCTAGGATCCATTTCCCAAGAGAGGGTAGCACTGGAGGCCTGCCCAGTGTGAGCAGGTGTCCCCATGGCAGCCTGCATGTAGTGAGCTCACTGGGCTGAACTTTGAACTCCCTAGTGTCAATGAGGACAGTCACAACCAGCACTTCGGAAGCATACTGGAACCTATAGAACACATTTTCTTAAGGTCCTCTTATTATAAAATTGCAGTGCCAAGGCAGTGGGTTATGCTTATAATCTTAGCTACTCAGGAGACATAGATCAGTTGGATTATGGTTCAAGGCCAGCCTGGGCAAAAAAATTGGTAAGATCCCATCTCAACAAAAAACCCAGATATAATGGTTCATGCCTGTAATCCCAGCTATTGAGGGGCATTGGTAAGAGGTAGTGGTTCACTGCAGGCCATGGGCAAAAGCATAAGCCCCTATGTGAAAAATAACTAAAGAAAAAAGGGTTGGGGTGTGGCTCAAGGGGCAGAGGCTCTGAATTCAAACTTGCTCTTTGCAAAAATTGCAGAGCAGGTCCATGAACTACATTAGGCTGAGAACCGAAGATCCCTTGCAAAGGTCCTCACTCTCGGGGCAATCCTGAGCCCTCGGGAGCAGGACTGAACTTTGAGACATCTGTGTACCCAGAGCACAGCCTTGGAAATCCCGCAGTTCAAGATTTGACTCCCAGCCCAGTCAGCTGCCAGCTCCGCAAATACACTTACTTTCTTCTCCTCCAAAGTGGGGCCCCAGTTTCTGTCTCCCTGTGGGTGGCTCTGTGGGGACCAGATGTGTGTGAGGGGCCTTGCTGCCTGGTGTTTGTGATCATTGCAGTGCCTTGGAAGCAGTGCAGAGGGCAGTGGTTCATGTGCTTTCCACTTGTCTTGCAGCGGAGCTGGAGTTTGCCCAAATCATCATCATTGTGGTGGTGGTCACGGTGATGGTTGTTGTCATCGTCTGCCTGCTGAATCACTACAAAGTCTCCACACGGTCCTTCATCAACCGCCCAAGCCAGAGCAGGAGGCAGGAGGACCCGCTGCAGCCGGTGAGTGTGGCCTGGGCTCCCTGAGTACTGCCAGGCCCCTTTCTTGGGTCCCCATAGTCAGGCAGGCCTAGCAAGGGCCAGGAACCAAGACCACCTATTATGTCAGTCCACTGTAGTGCCAGAGTTGCCAAGGATTTTCGGTTGAGAGTTACCATACAGAAAAGCACACTCATCCTAAGTGTTCAACTCAGTGAATTCTCACACACTATACACGGCATGGGGCCAGCACCCAATCAAGAAAGGGACATGACAGCCCCCAGAAACAAGCTCCTGTCCCCTCCCAGCCCCTCTCAGTCCCTCTCAGCCCCTCTCAGCCCAAATTAGCTTTGCTGGGTTTTGATAATTGTGTTGGATGGGTCATGCCCTAGTATGTTCTTGGGTCTGGCGTTGCTCACTCATCACAAGGTTCTGTAGTCATCTCTTCTTAAACCTGGTCCTGGAGGTGACCTAGGGATGAGTGATACACTCATATATCACAATGATGCACTCATTTTTCTTCAGGGCTTGGGTACCAGTTGGCTGGAGGGGACAGTGGGATGGTAATTTGAAGGGCCTCCTCAGGTGTGCAGTCTGAGTGGTTTGATCAAACGATCACACACGGTAGTTTTCCAGGGCTTGTCAGACACAGGCAATCTGGTACCCTCAGGCTACACCATGCAGACTCACTGGGTGCTGTACTGTCCTGACGCCTGTCAGTCATTGCACAAGGACAGCTCTGTTTTTGAGAGAGAACATATTCTTTCAAAGATCTGAGTTTAAAGACAGGACAAGAAAATCTGTCAAGGTAGCAGTTTCAGAAGCACAAAAGAATCATCTATCTTTGCTTTGCCTTAATATAAGGACTGTAAATACCCCCCAGGCATTTGGTGGTTGCATTGCCACCTATCACAGGCAGCTCTCAGGCTTCCACAAAGTACATCTTATGACTTTACCTGTATGCCCCATTTCACACTTTCTACTCAGAAGCCCCAAAATGATCCCTGAACAGAGCACACAGGCTTTTCCAGTCCCCTGGTTGGTCCCCTTCCTTTGCCTTCCTCTCAGACTTACCTGGGGAAGAAGGCATCATCTGCTTGCTGCCTTCCAGAATCCAGGCAACTCCTTCTTCACTCCTCAGTGCAGACCTAGCCCTCTTGCTATACTGTCGTTGTGTATTATGTCCTGACCATACATGTCCACACCTGTGCCAGCTAAAAGGCACAGCAAGAAAACAATTAAAATGGCAAAAAACAAAGCTTCAACATGTTTTTACTTAGAAGAGGTCTTGTATTTCATTTGGCCCTGTGGTCCTGTGAAGCTCTCTCTGGGAGCAGGTGGGCCACAGGGCTATCTGACTGACCAGCAGGGCCTCCCATTCTGGAATTGAGATGGTGATCGAATGACCAGAGGGCCCTCAGGACTGCACACTGAGTGGCAAGTGATGGCAGTCAGTAGCTGGTGAGTTGTGTCCACGCAGGGGCTCCTTGCTGAGGAGACTCTCCATGGGCATTTGGAAGTGACTGAGTGGCAAGTGATGGCAGTCAGTAGCTGGTGAGTTGTGTCCACGCAGGGGCTCCTTGCTGAGGAGACTCTCCATGGGCATTTGGAAGTGACTGAGTGGCAAGTGATGGCAGTCAGTAGCTGGTGAGTTGTGTCCACGCAGGGGCTCCTTGCTGAGGAGACTCTCCATGGGCATTTGGAAGTGGTGCCCTGAGTGCTGCTGGGCTGGTGCTGAGCCAGGCCGGAGGGGCTGCTGCACATGGCACGGCCTTTAATTCCTGGGCCACTGTGTTCTTTCTTTCCTCTGAGTGATCCAGATCAGATGCTCACGGCCCACAGGCTGCTCCTGCAGCAAGGGACTGTTTGATGTTTCATGAAACTCAAGGTGTGTTTCAACACTATGACCAGGGACACTGCTGTCGCATATCTTAACTCCATGTCCTGACTAGGACCATTAGTTTACTTTATAGTTCCCAAAAAGGGGAGAAAGCGATGAGGAAGAAAAAGACCCTCCTCTCCTGGACACTGTCCCTGACCTAGCCCCCTGAGGTCCCTCACAGAAGTCTTCCTCCCTAAGTCCTTTTAAGAATTTCCTGGGGAAGGGGAAGGAAATCATGATCCTTTAAGGACTGGAAGAGTGGCTCAAGTGGTAGAGCACCTGCCTAGTAAGTGTGAGCCCTGAGTTAAAACCTCAGTACCACCAGGAAAAAAAAAAAAGAAATGACTGCTCCCTCTATCCAGTGTTGGGAGTGCAGTTGATTCATTTATACCTGGGGCTCTCAACCAGAGGCAGTTTTACCCCAACTAGACATTCAACAGAAACTGGAAGTTGTCACAACTGGGGATGGTGGTACTATAGGGATGGTCTACAATGCACAGAGCAGTCTCACAAAGGACCCCAAGGTGGGGAATCTGACCCCAGGAGCTGAGTGCCATGCTGTCTGTCCAGGGAACATCGCTGGCCCAGAAGGATGCCTGTTACATGAATGGAGCTCTGCTGGCTGGCTCTGAGGTGTCCACAGAGAGAAGAGCACACTTTCCAGAGGCACAGGGACTGTGCTCGTCTGGTTCTGTGCCTTAGGGACAGTTTCCCAGGGATCTCCACCCGGAATGCTTCTTTTCATCCTGGTGTTCACAGGAACCTGCCAGAGCCTGGAGAGCTAGGCAAAATGGAAACAGTTGCCATGTCCCATCCCTGCCTGGCAGAAGCAGAGGCCCCACTGCCATTCTCTTGGTCTCAGAGATGCTGAGGTTCCCAGCAGCCACTTGTGTTTGTAAAGTGGACTGTGTCAGAAAATGTTTGGGATGAGCATGAGGACCCCTTGTCTCCTCCACCCGAGTGCCTGGCTTGGCCAGAGAAGTTTCAAGACAGCCTGTGCCTCCAGCCCTTCCCCGAGGAGCTAGCAGAAGCTGGACAGTCAGCATGGTGGCAAGGGCTCTGTCTACTGACCAAGCACTGTCATTCATCCTCAAAGGCTGCGCCTGGGGGACTGGTGTGTGCACCTTGGAGCAGGGTGATCTGCGGGGATGGCCTCACACTCTACTGCTGTCACTAGATTCGATTCTGTTGTCAAGGCCCCCCGCAGGCTCCTGAGGAGCCTCTGTTTAGCCAGCATCTGAGAACCAGGTTTGCCTTCCTCAGCACTGTGCAGGGAGGGTGGCTTCAGCACACTGTTAGTTAGTAGTGTGTGGATGCAGGGGTCCCCTCAGGCCTCTCATTGTTCTGAGTCTGTGTTACAAAGACAGCCTGACATGTGGGGCTCGGGCCAGTTGGTTGTAGGCCCACGGGAGGTCTCTGTGGTAACACCGGTGTTCATTTTTACTGGCCAGGGAAGTTGCATGCCTCTCTTGGGAGCTTTCCATCCTCTTGTTAGTGACTCTCCACTTGGGCCTAAAGGGAATGCCAGTTGAAGTTAATAAATTAGGATGTCAGTAGCTATGACCTTAGTTCTAGGGGAGAGTCCTCTGAAAGCATGGTGCAAGGGTTAGCTTTGCTCCTCCCCCATGGGCTCTTCTTTTGGGACACCCAGCACAGCACAGTGCCATGGGGGGAGGAGGCACTGCTTGCTTACACCGCCAGCACCCTTCTTTCTCACACTGGCACCTTCTCCCCTGGACTCTTCACTTGCTGGCTGCGACCATGTGTGTTGGGGGAAGGTAAAGGGGCCCTGTGTCCCTTTGAGGCAGGTCAGCCTTCCTTCTCACTAGATCCAGGGAAGCCTGGGTATAAGCGATACTGGCCCTGAATTAAGTTGAAGCAGCATTTCTGGACAAAAATGAAAAATAGCAACCCAGCCTTAAATTAAACCACAGAAAAGTAGAAGATTAAGTGATGGCTAACAGCAGTGGATGCAGTTGGACGTGAACCTGAAGTGGCCTTCCTGAGGCAGCATTGGTGGATTTCTGCAGAGCCTCCTTTGTGTGGTTTTGGAGCTCTAGACTGTCTAGATTTCTTTTTGCTATCTTAGACTGCAGAGTGATAGGGAAACGCTAAGGAGGCCTAAGTGTGTGGGACCAGCACTGAGATATCTGCCCATGTTGCTGGAGCTTTTCTTGCCATGCTTGGGGAGGCCTGAGCAGTCGTTTCTGACATCTGGCAGTTGAGCTGACCCCATCTGGCCAACCCAGGGTATGTGGAAGATGGGCATGTGGAGGCAGATGACCATCTACTAAAGAAAGAGGAATGGAGGAATTGGGTTTTTACTTGGTTCAGCCATATACAGTTGAAGATAGTCAGACCCTTTTTTTTTTTCTATAAAACGGCTATTTCAATTTAAAAATTAACATTACCAGCTGCTATATGGATTAAATAAGTTGTAAAAATCCAGGTGCCTGGGCCTCCCTGACACAGAGAAGGAGGCCTTTTCTTTGTACCTTAACTGTTGGATAGGAGGACCAGCACTCAGTGGTTGTTCCCTCTGTTAGTGCAGAAGCTTGGGTTCCTCAGATGCACAGTGCTCTGGTGTGGGGTGTTCTGACAAAATTTCATCCATCTTTTAAAAACTGAGGGCTATCACATGAAAATAGGAGTTTATGGGGCTGGGGTGTAGATCAGCCAAAGAGCACTTGCCTCGCATGTTTGAGACTCTGGATTCCATACCCAGCATTGAAAAAAAAAAGAAAAAAGGAATTTACATCTTCTCTAGCAAGTTGGAGGACTACCTTGGTCTTCATTCTGTTATTCTAGCCTGGCTCCTCAGGCTGGGACCACAAAGCAGCCACCACTGACTGAAGATGGGCCTCACCTGTCCTTGCTGTACCCCATCTCTCTCTGGGGACCCTTGGAACTGGGGTTGGGGGGATTTCATTGCCACGTACCAATTTTCATGGTGCTGATTGTTATTTTGGGAAAACATTTTTTGGCATTTAAGCCTCTACCTCAAGGCTAAAACCAAAAACAGACCCATGAAGCCTCTAGTTTCCAGAAAAATGGAGGAGAATGTCCTTGTGACAGTGAAGGCCACTCCTGCTAGTTTAGGAGTGCAAAATGTGTGTTGGGTCTACAGGGTGCAGCAGGTCCT